TGAGATTAAACATATATAAAACGGAGAAATTAACCTGAAATGTTTGTGAATCCATCCCGGTGGAAAATGTTGCCATGACAATGGCGGAAACCCCGATCAGGAAACCCTAGAAGCACAAAAGGGATAAAAGTGTAAATTCATGTGATCATAGTATAAGTTTAAGGTAAAAAATGAAGGGTATACGTGAGGTTATTTACTAGCACAGTTATCCAGTCAACATGCTTGTTTTCGTGCTTTTGAGGGCTGCATATTTCGTTTGCTGGCTCACTGGAAAACCATGAGAGCTATCAATCAACAAAAGATTTAAGCAATCAAAGTAATCTATAATTAATGCAACAATCAGTCGATCGATAATTTAATAATTACAAACCTTCTTAACGCAGACCAACAAAGAAAAACGATATAAAATGCCATGATCCCAGATGATAAAAGACCTTTATTCACCTGTTTTAAGTGTAGAGATAATTAGATTAATTCCAGCATATATAAAAATGTAGAATTGAATCAAGGACATATATATATATATATATATATATATATATATATATATATATATATATATATATATATATATATATATATATATATATATACCTTTGAGTGCAAGGATATAATCATCATGACAAGAAGCAAAACTGTTGTCCAGGTAATGAAGAATATGTTGAGAGTGCATGAAGGTTTTGATGCATACAATGCATACATTACAATGATCCCACATAAAGAGGCCATATAGAACAATGTTGACATGAATAATCCACAACACGAGCTGCAAAACATAAAAGACGATGGACTTTAATTTGTTAAGTTTGATAATTAAAGAGGATGATAATTAATTAATTATGGATAAAAAAATGTATCAAACCTTTGCTTCTTTCTTTCATCGGGCATCCAGTAAGCATTCCACCATGCTATGAACTCGATCACACTTACAAGCTGAAGGAGGAGAAAGATCCTGGATCATAGATTTAATTTAGTAATTAAGAACTGATTTTAATGAAAAAGATTAAAACCCTTTAAAAATAATGTTTTATAAAAGATTACCCTGCACCAACTCGAGCAAGTTCACCTGAAAAAACGTAAGATTTTAGTCATTTTAACAACAAATTTGCATTTATATAATAAGTTCTTGTAATTCGATTGACTTACCATATAATTGAACAAAATCCGAGGGTATGAAGAACGAAAACACTAAAATGATCACCAATATACCAAATTTCACAGTCCACCATCCAGAATGCCATGTATTACGAATGTTGAATAACTTTTTTGTTCCACATGTGGTCAAAAACAACATAAAGAAATATATCTAGAATTAAAACACATTAAGGCAAAATCAAGATTTGTGAAAGATACATTTTTTTTTAATAATTTCATCTGACTAAACAAAAGATACGAAGCATCCCAAGCTAACACGAAGAACTCCCATTGTTTGGAAACAGTCATGGCCTTTAAGAACTGTAAAACAGTAAAAGAAACTTATTAAAACTATTTTACCCAAATTGAATTGTTATATATTGGTGATTAAATAAGTTTTTAAGAACTTACTGTGGAAGTGAAGGGAAACCCTTTGGCCATAGTCACGTAGAAACCAGGCTACAAGATTTACTAATGAGAAGATAATGCCATAAGTATAGCGTGCTCTTAGTGATTTCTTCCTTCTTATTAAACACTCTATGCTCATTTGTTGCATAATTTCCCATTGAACAATCTCATCATTTGTTAGTTTGATGTCTACAAACACGTCATCTTCAATCATTTCATCAGGCTCAACCATCCTGAAACTAGCTAGTTTACTAGCCAAAAATGAATCAAAAATTCAAGTATAGTTAAAGAAGTTAAGAACAAGATTAAGGAATGAATAGAAGGTTAACAAACCTTCGATGTTTCTGGATTTGTTGCCAATTGGTTCCTTATGAAAATCAGTGAAGGGTCTGAAAGCTTAGGGGAGTGATGAGTATGAGGCTTCTTGGATTCAATTAAGATGCTCATAGACCCTGATATCATGTTTTTTTTCACCCTTAAAGTAATAATTAATTAAATAAAGAAGAAGAAGGTAGCAAGCCTCCAATTTGTCAGGTTTGAGTAATAATTGGTATAAAGTCAGCCCAACAACTAAGTCTGAGTAAGTAGATACTGTTAGCAGACACTCCATTTCTTGAACACTCTTTTATTGTTTAGAAGACATCTGTCTTTCTTCCATTTTAATGTTTTTTACTTGGATTAAAGTTTTGTTTTTTATTTGTATTAGTTGTCAAATAACACAGACCCATGTTACAGAAAAGGGAAATAAACAAAACCCATCAAGGAAATGATAATAAAAAGAGAAATGCAACATTTTCGTCTTTTCTCTAAAAAAAAGCATAAATCATACGTAATTTCGAGTTTTTAACAAGACAAAAGAATATCCTAGCAAACTATTGAGTTAAAAGCAAAAAATAACAATGTATTTTCTTCTTGATTCATTGATTAAAGAATTTAAAAAAATTCTACCCAATTTTAGAAATATCATTTAGATACAAAACAATTTTCACTATTATAATTGGATATGTTTTTCAAAATATAATCTCCCAATAAGAATAAACTGAGAGGGTAATGTTATAAAAAAAAAAAAAAATCAATGTTGTAATACTGAGAAATAAGAGTAGGATGCTTAATAAACAAATAAATAAATAAACATTGTTATTTTTTGTATTTACCTTGAGATATATTATTAATTAAAGTTGTATCAATTTTTTGTTATGACCGATAAAATGAAATATTAACTTCTTTTAAGAAAATTGGATCAAGTAACCTGTAAAGTGGAATGATGCTTGTAAGTTAGGACAAGTTAGGTTATGTTAGATTAGTATATATGTGTCTTATTTTCTTTAAAATTATGATTACAAGTTAACTAATTGGAAAATTAACTAAGACTTAGGAAGATTAGAATCCAAGAAAATGAGCAACAACTTTGTTTTTTACATTCCTATCAAACATGCAATATGAGGTTAGTGGTGGTAACTTAAAGAGTTTTTAACAAGTACTCAAAGATTCAACAGGGCACATTATATCGGAGTTTTAAACTTGAACATGAAATGGTTATCATCAAGAAGAAGAGAATTTGGTGAAGTTTCTTAAGCTCAAACATGATACATTGAAAGATATATGCATCTATTTTGATGGTGTGAAAACGAGGAAACAAAATTCTAGAAAAATGACGAAATGGTTAAAAAAAAGGGTAGTGAGAAAAGGTATACACGTGAAGATGAAGAATGGTGATACTTTGAGTGCATATGAAGCCACAAGTAAAAAAACAAACAGAAAGATGACAAAAGGTGGTAGGTCCAAACGGGTTGACCCAATGTTAAATGGATTATGGCTGGAACCCCAATCACGCGTTAGAGACCGTTGCTGCTGAGGAGCGGAGCTCAATAAATAAAATTAAATATTCGAGGCCATCATTTAATCATTTTAGTATTGAAACAATCAAATCTAATTTAGAAATTAATATGTGTCCATATTGGATTATTTAACATCAAAATCTAGTGCTTAAAGCTTTTGGGGTATGTGATTGCTACTGGCCTCCTTTTTTGCTCCTATTTTCACCTTCTATTTTGTTTATTCAACATGCATTATGCAAATAGCCAAATATGGGTTACATTATTAGGTGTTGTATGATTGGGTTTAGGTTTGTCGGCATGAGTGAGTAAGTGCATTAGTGAACTCTATCTACGGCCCACTTGGTTAATGTACTATATTAACTATTATACCAACTATAGGACACAAAACTATCTCTTGTGTATTTTTGTTAGTTTTATGCTAGTATGTGTGGGAATTGGGAAAGCAAAAGTTTTGGATTCAAGGCTTGGAAATGGCCATGCGAGGGACAACACAAAACTCGGGTTTCTTGATAAACAGTTAGATATTAGCAAGATCGGTCCAGATGGTGGGCAACCCGGGCGACCGCTCAGGGCCCACATCTCTTGGAGGCCCAAAATTTCTTGGCTGTATATATATATATATATATATATATATATATATATATATATATATATATATATATATATATATATATAATATTACTTAAATGATTTTTAAGGCCTAAATTTGGTTCATACTCGAACTAGGTCAAAAGATAAATAATTTGGCTTGCTTGTTATTGCTAATTGAACATGCTTATACTGAAAAATAAATGATATTTTTTTTAATCTTTATTATATTTGTCTGTAAGAGGCTTTTTTTTCTTTCGCCTCGGGCCCATATACGTTTGGACCGGCCTTGGATCTTAGATCCTAACATATCATTGAGTACTTGGTTTACATATCATGTAATAGTTTTGAAGTTGGTTGATGTGGATCCTTAGCGTTAGAAGTTAGATTCAACTTTTTAAGGTTTGGGGTAAAAATATTCCATTTTTTACTTTAGTTTTAATGTATAACTGTTATGGACTAAACAATTATAATGAGCAAGAACTGATAGATTTATTCTACTGTTTCATAAACTTCATAACTGGCATGGATGACAAGAGAATACGGAAAGAAATAAAATAGTAGCTATTCGAGATACTACACTCTCCCAAGTAATAGAAACTTCTAAGAATAATGATTATGATTTCCCTTAGGATGGTCTTCCCCTTAATAGGGCACGAATGACAACTGCCCATTTTGCCCCTGCTCCCCCATTACCTCTGCAGTCATGATGGACGATCTGGTGGTCCCCCTGCCCTTGGAATCTTTTTCTGTTTTTTCCTTTTATATGTGAATTTGAGTGGTGGCTGCATAACATTACTCCTTCCCCAAAGACCAACCTTGTCCTCAAGGTTGAATTCTGGAAAAGTCTCCGCTATAGTGGACCAGTCCTCCCAGGTTGATTCAAATTCTGGCACTCCATCCCATTTGATCAAAACTTCTGTGTTTTGATCCTTGTCTCCGGACTGCACTCGCGCCCCTAAGACCGCTTCTGGAATCCAATCAAGCTTCAATTCCTCTGTCATGTGAGCAGGTAGAGTAGGGTTTGCAACTTGATTACCAATGGCCTTCTTGAGTTGATATACATGAAAAACCGGATGAATCTTGGCGGTGTCGGGCAATTGAATTTTGTAGGCCGCCTTCCCAACCTTTTGTGTAACCAAGAAGGGTCCATAGAATCTTGCTGCCAATTTCTGGAAGGGTCTGGGTCCCATTGATCGTTGCCTGTAGGGTTGCAATTTGAGATAAACCCAATCCCCCACTATTAGAGTCACATCTCTCCTATTTTTATCTGCCACAGCCTTCATCTTCTGTTGAGCTTGGAGCAAATGACTTTTCAGGTCATCCAATATGGCATCTCTCTCAAGGAGTTGTTCTTCCACTGCCATGACTGTCGTGTTCTCTTTGTGTATCTTACCTACCCGGGGTGGGTCTCGACCATATAGAGCTTTAAAAGGGGTGGTTTTCCCAGGTGTATGATAAGCATTGTTGTGAAAAAATTCTGCCTAAGCCAGCCACTTGTTCCATGTTTTGGGCTTCCCTTGGATGAAGCAGCGTAAGTAGAGTTCCAGTGCCTTATTGACTATCTCCGATTGGCCATCCGTTTGGGGGTGGTAGGCAGTGTTCCTCATCAGTTGGGTACCTTGCAACCTGAAGAGTTCGTTCCAAAAATGACTCATAAAGATCTTATCCCTATCGGAGACAATTGAGATTGGGAACCCATGTAATCTAACGACTTCCTTGATGAAGGTGGCAGCAATGGAGGTGGCTGTGTAGGGGTGTTTTAGAGCAATAAAATAGGCGTACTTGGTTAGTCGGTCCACCACTACCAATATGGAGTTGAATCCATCAGAATTAGGAAGGCCCTCAATAAAATCCATCGTCACTTCCTCCCACACCTTATCTGGAATGGGTAACGGCTGTAACAACCCAACAGGATGCGTGTTGGCAGATTTTTGGGTTTGACACGTGCTACATCCTTGCACATATTTTTGCATTGTCTTCCTCATGCCCACCCAAAACCATTCTGAGGCCAACCTTTGGTAGGTTCGGAATTCTCCTGCGTGCCCTCCAATGGCAGAATCATGGAACTCCTTGAGCAGCAACTTGATAAAATGGGATTTTTGGGGAATAACGATCCTACCTTTGTAAAAAAGTCTACCCTTTTCCCAGGTATACCCTGCAGTGCACCTTCCCTCCTTCCATGATATCCTCTTTGACTTGCTGGATAAACGGGTCCACAGTTATTTCCTTTTCCAATTCCTCCATGGAAATTGACCACCCGGATTGCAGGGCCTGTAATTCCGTGGTCATATGTCCGGTCCGAGACAGGGCATCGGCTACCTTGTTGGTTAGACCTGGCTTGTATTATATTTCAAATTCGAATCCAAGGATCTTCTACATCCACTTCTGATACTCCGGTCCTACTTCTCTTTGTTCCATTAGAAATTTCAGGCTGCGTTGATCTGTTCTGATAATGAAACGCCTCCCTAAGAGGTAGTGCCTCCATTTTCTTACTGCCAACACGATGGCCATCAATTCTTTCTCATAAACAGACTTCAGTCTGTTTCTTTCCCCTAGCACTTGGCTGTAATAAGCAACGGGGTGCCCTTCTTGTATCATGACTACCCCTAATCCGGTGTCGGATGCATCCGTTTCTACTATGAATAATTTCTCAAAGTTGGGCAGGGCTAGAATTGGCGTCTGAGTGAGAGCAAACTTTAGAGCTTGAAAGGCTCCCATGGCTGCCTCATTCCACCTAAAATTATCCTTCTTGAGAAGATCTGTTAAGGGGGTTGCAATTCCCACGTATCCTCTGATGAATTTCCGGTAATAACCGAATAGGCCCAAAAAACCTCAGAGCTCCTTGATAGTGGTGGGAACCGGCCACGCTTCGACTGCTCTAATTTTTTCGTGATCAACCGCCACCCCTTGCTTAGAGATAACATGCCCCAAATAAGCTATTTGTTGCTTCCCTAACTCACACTTGCTTGGGTTAGCAAAGAATTCATGTTGCCTTAGCGTACTCAACACAATCTCCAGATGTCCTTGGTGTTGCGTTTCATCCGAGCTGTATACCAGGATGTCATCAAAGAAAACTAGCACAAACTTGTGTAAATATGGCCTGAAGACTTCGTTCATTACTGATTGGAAGGTTGTTGGGGCGTTGGTAAGGCCAAAGGGCATTACCTTAAATTTGTAATGTCCTACGTGAGATCAGAAAGCCGTCTTGTGTATATCTTCCTACTTCATTCTGATTTGATGATAGCCTGATATTAGGTCCAACTTAGAAAACACTCGTGACCCATGCAGTTCATCCAATAGTTCTTCAATGAGAGGTATGGGAAATTTATTTTTTTTTACTGTAACCCTATTAAGGCTTCGATAGTCCATGCAGAATCTCCAAGACCAATCTTTTTTCTTTACTAGGAGGATTGGACTCGAGAAGGGGCTCCTTGTTGGTTGAATGATGCCCGCCTTAAGCATGTCTTGAAGTAGCCTCTCAATCTCTTCTTTTTGTGTGTGGGTGTACCTATAGGGTCTCACCGAAACCGGTTACGTTCCCTCCTTCAGTTGTATGGCATGTTGTTGATTTCGAATGGGTAGTAACCCTGCATTCCATGAGAAGACCGAAATGTATTGCTACACCACCGGCTCCAAGTAAGGGGGGCATGCTGGTAGGCTGGAGTCTGAAGGAAGTTGTTCTATGAGGCTGAATTGGACCCAATATCCCCCTCCGGACGACCCTAGGGTTCTTACCATGTTTTTCAAAGATATCTGAGCACGTTCCAGGGACGGATCACCCTTCAATGTAACCTACTGTCCTCCCAGTTTGAATTTCATGTGTTGTGTTTTCCAATTAGTAGTTACCGGACCCAATGTTTCCAGCCACTGAATTCCCAATATGACATCAGAAGTTCCCAACGTCAAAGGTAGAAAATCTTCCTTGATACACACTCCTTGAACATATAACAGTACACCCTTGCACTTCCCCGTTCCGGTGACAGCCTCTCCTGTTCCCAAGGACACTCCAATCCCAGCAGTAGGAGATATGGGGATATTGAGATGCTTAATGGCTGACAGGGATAAAAATTTGTGGGTTGCCCCTGGGTCAATGAGGATCGCTACTTCCGCTCCTGCCAATTCCCCCTTCAATTTGAGAGTTTTTGGGTTAGCAATTCCAATCACCGAGTTTAAACAAATTCCTAAGAGGACGGTTTCTTCTGGGGTCTCTATTTCTGGGTCCTTTTCTACTTCGATTTGGGGTTCATCTTCTTGATCCTCATCTTCATGGGTTATCAGCACACTTAGTTCCTTCTTCTTACAGCGATGCCATGGGTTCCATTTTTCATCACAACGATAACATATGCCTTTTTCCCTTTTCTTTTGGAGTTCTTGATTAGTGAGCCTTCGAATTTCAGGGAAACGTTTGTGGGAAGGTGTATTAGGGTTTTTTGATGGGTAGAAGGTTGTTTTTATGGGAGTGATAAGGGGAGTCGTTTCCTGGATCGCCATAGGAGTCGAGCTTGGTTTCTTAGAAGTGTGGGAACGAAGCTTACCTTCTACTTTGATGGCGACTGACATCGCATGATCAATGGATCGGGGTTCGAACAATTGGACCTCCGTTCTTATGTCTTCTTTTAGTCCGTTAATGAATTGGCCCAATATCACATCATCCGGAATATTTTTAAGTGGGGCAAGTAGTCCGATAAACGAACGTTGATATTCATGTACCGACCCGGTTTGAATTAGGGACAACCATTGCTGGTATAGCGTACCTGCATAGATGGGTCGGAACTGACGAAGGAGGAGCGTCTTCAGTTTGTTCCATTGCATTACCGGTCTTCTCCCATGTTCCCATTGAAACCAGAGGAGAGCATCCCCTTCAAGAGCCACCACCGCGCCCTCCAACTTGTCACTCTCCAATAGTCTATAGAAATTGAAATACCGCTCTGTTCTCAGGATCCAACCATCCGGGTTCTCTCCGTCAAACAAGGGCATCTCCAACTTCCGGTACCTCCAGTTGCATTAGCCATTCTGGCCCTCACCTCCTCCATTTCCCATTCTTACTCTGTCGATGTTACTGTGCGATGTCCCACTGTAACCTTTCGGAGTCCCCTCCATGGATATTACCGGTGTGCCGGTCGGCTCTCTTTCCCCTATAGTCTTTCCCTGGTTACCCTTGGCTATGGCCCCCAAGATCTCCTCAAACTTCTGTTCCATTTTCAATTGATTTTGATCGATCTTCATCTGGATAGACGCTATTGAGTCTGCTTGGTGTTGAATCTGATGACCTTGATTCTCCAGACAATCATACAAGGTACCCAGCTCCAACTCCAGTGATTCCACCCGTTTAATTTGATTCTACTATTTCATAAACTTCATAACTGGCATGGATGACAAGAGAATACAGAAAGAAATAAAATAGTAGCTATTCGAGATGCTACACTCTCCCAAGTAATAGAAACTTCTAAGAATAATGATGATGATTTCCCTTAGGATGGTCTCCCCCTTAATAGGGCACGAATGACAGCTGGGACTCCAAATGCCCATTTTGCCCCTGCTCCACCCATTACCTCTGCAGTCATGATGAATGATCTGGTAGTCCCCCCTGCCCCTGGAATCTTTTTCTGTTTTTTCCTTCTATATGTGAATTTGAGTGGTGGCTGCATAACAATAACCTAGAATCTAGCTCATCAAACTAATTATTTCCGTTTCAAATTTGTAATACTATTGTCTTGAATTTTTATATATTTATGCCGGACCGTTATAATATAGTTAACAAAAACCCTTTTTGGAAATAGAAAATAAAAACCGAAAAATTGTAACAAAATATTGTAGTGAAACCAAAAACCGAATTACTTCTAGTTTGATTTTACTTTTTGAGGGTGTTTGATATCCCTCTTTTGGGTCCAATAAGAGGTTGATTATGACTATGTTTCAGTCTTTAGGGCATCTTCAACCCTACACTAAAAAATCATTTTTATATTGTAAAATATAATGCTCTAACCCTTTATTATATCTAACACTATATATGGTATTGGATTTTAGTGTAACACTAAATATAGTATTGAATAAAGAATAATATACCTAAAATATTAGTGTTAAATATTATGTAACGAGATGGAAGAGCCAAATGTTTGTGATTCAAAATTCAATAAAGCAAGCCCAAAATTCATTGTGATTTAAAATTCAATAAAGCAAGCCCAAAATTCAAACTCGGTACGTCTAGAATATTATTAACATTTCATGATTACTACAATAGGCGATAGGATGGGTTTGACATTAGCCGTCCAAATAGTGTGTTTACCATTTTAGACAAAGGACCTGGGAAGTGTTTTAAGATATAAATCATATAATAAAATAAAATTTAATAATAAAACAAAATTATATAAATTTCGACGTTATACCCACTGCTAACCACTATAGTGGTGGGTACTAACTCATTACCACATCCAACCGCTAAAATGTTGGGATACCTACCACTATATATCCTTCTTATTTTTCATTACTAAAATAAAAAATATATATATTTTAATTAATTAATCCGTAGAGAGGTAGAGATAGAGAAAAAAAAAAAAAAAAAAAAAAAACTCATAAGAGGTGATGGTTAGTGCTCCCCACAATAATTGACCACGAATTTTTCCATGACTAAGAATATAAGGTGATGTTCACAATTGTTGTTCATGGCCATATAGACCACGAACATGTTCATTACAAGTATACCACTTGATCTAAGCACAACGACCGCAAAAACTAGTAGGTAAATTATGTAAGATTTTGACCATTTATCAACCTAAAAATAAATAAATAATAAAAAATAAATAAATAAATAAATTTAAAAAAAAAAAAAAAAAAAAAAAAAAACCGAGATGGACATCTTAAATAGCATAAATCGTAAAATCAAAACCCCCTGTCAAGAACCATATCAGTCATTATCCACTTCTAGAATCACCCCGTTAAAGACAAAACCATAGATTTTATCTTCACTCAAAATTGAAAACAAGAACACGAAATGAAATAAATATAATAAACAGTTTGGCTTTTAAGCGTATGAAATGGAATAGGTGGCAGTAGGCAGGAATAAGAACATTTTTTCCCATCTCAAACACAGCAAGCCATTAGCAAACATTCAAATGACATCCAAGTAAAGATGAAGAAATTGTTCACCACAAAACTCATCACTAAATAAACTTTTTTCATGATAACACGTCACTCTCATAATCCAAATGCCGACAAAAAAAAATGAAAATTTTTACTACTTCTCTTGCATTTTAATCACACCTATGCCTTCTTTACCCTCCTCAAGTGTTGTGTTTTATTTTGTCAGTAAAATGTATGTCAATATCCTTTGACCGGTCAAAAGTCCATTCCACCCATTCCTCCCATTCCACCACCGCCCATTCCAGGAGCACCTTCACTAGCTGGCTTCGGGAGTTCAACCACAATAGCTTCAGTAGTCGTCATCAAAGAAGACACACTACACACAAAATTAAAAATTAAAAAATAAGCCTTAGAATCTATTATGAACATTTACGAAAGGAAAAACTGCAATAAAATCCCTACATATTGGCCTCATAATCGATTTAGTCCCTATATATTTTTTTTATTCAATTAAGTCCCAAATACCGGTAATCGTATTCAATTTAACCCTTTGACCCGGTTAACAGGTCATCTAACTTTCAAAAATTACATTTTTAGCCCAGATTTCAAAATTATTACAAATTTAATCCAAAATTTACACTTTTGGCCCAAATTTCAAATTTTGTTACAAATTTGGTCCACACTTTACCCTTTTTGCCCAAATTTTAGAATTTTATTATGAATTCATCTTAACTTAAGTTTTATTACAACTTTTTTTCTCAAAGAATTGTTTGAAATATGTTTTTTCTTTATAACATCATATTTATACAAAAAAAAAAACGTATTTTCACATAAAAATCTTATATGTTATATATAAAAACTTTCTTCAAAAAGTTTTTTGTATATGAAATATTTAGTTATAAAAATAAGTATTTATTAAGTATATAAATATATAGAAATCCGTTTTTATAAAAAAAATGTATACAAAAACATATTTTACAAAAAAAAATGTATACAAACACCTATTTTATCTATATTTTTTTTTATAAAATTGTGTTTGTTTATATTTCTTTTTATAAAAACGTGTTTGAATATTTTTTTATATAATTAGTGTTCGTATACATTTTATAAAATGTATACAAACACGATTTTATAAAATATATACAAACACGTATTATATAAAAACTTATTCAAACACGTTTTTATAAAATGTATACAAACACGTATTATATAAAAAATTATTCAAACACGTTTTTATAAAAAAAATATAAACAAACACGATTTTATAAAAAAATATAGATACATACCTATTTGTGTGTATATATATATATATATATATATATATATATAAAGGTGATAGGTATTTGTGTACAATTTTTTATAAAAACGAATTTATATATATTTATATACTAAATAAATACATATTTTTATAGCTAGATATTTCATATACAAAAAACTTTTTAAAAAACGTTTTTATATAGAAAATATAAGATTTTTATGTGAAAATACATTTTTTTGTATAAATATGATTTTATAAAGAAAAAACATATTAGAAACAATTTTTTGAAAAAAAACTAAAATTAGGATGAATTCATAATAAAATTCTAAAATTTGGGCAAAAAAGGTAAGTTTGGACCAAATTTGTAAAAAAAAATTAAAATCTGGGCCAAAAGTGTAAACTTTGGACCAAATTTGTAATAAATTTTGAAATCTGGGCCAAAAATGTAATTTTTGAAAGTTGAATGACCTGTTGACCGGGTCAAAGGGTTAAATTGAATACGATTACCGGTATTTGGGACTTAATTGAATAAAAAAAATATATAGTGACTAAATCGATTATGAGATCAATATGTAGGAACTTTATTGTAGTTTTCCCTTTACGAAATTAAATTAATAGATAAAAAGGAAAAAAGTTATTTTGTAGTTTCAAATACATACTATAATATGTATTTCAAATAATCGGAAAAAAAATATTATTTAATGTTTCAAAAAGATGTTTACTAACACTTAGAAGAAAAACAATTAATATTAAATACTAAGAAATACTAGAACAATTTAATTAAAGTTTTGATATTTTTTAAAAAATGTTAAAGATCATGGAATTTTAATTACATACGACTATGTTTATGAGTTTCAACTAACCTTGCAGCATCAACCAAGGCTGTTCTTATGACTTTCAACGGATCAATGATTCCATTTTTCACCATATTCACATATTCACCTGAAAACCAACAAATTTTACAAAAAAAGTCCCAATAAAAATAAATTCTCAATCTCCATTAACACATACCTTTAGCTGCATCATACCCAAGATCCTGATCATCCTGTTCTAAAAGCTTCCCAACAACAACAGAACCCTCAACCCCAGCATTAGATGCAATCGTATGAACTGGCATCTGTAATCAAACAGATTAAATAAAATAAAAAATGTTAATTTCTTCATCTTATATTCTTATATACAAAATCAAACGTTAGAATCTGGAAATAAAGTTGTGACCTTTAGTGCGTTTTGAATTATCTGAACACCTATTTTCTGATCAAAGTTGGCTGTTTGTAGTTTTTCCAACTCTTTAGATGCATAAAGAAGAGCAACACCGCCACCTGGCACGATTCCTTCTTCAACAGCTGCCTTGGTGGCATTTAAAGCATCTGTAACTCTATCTTTCTTTTCCCCTACTTCAGTGTCACTAGCTCCTCCAATCTTCAACATGATTACAAATCTTTCATTATTTATTTTGAACACAAGAAAAGATAAAAAGATATTTTTTTGGATAAAAGATGTAAAAAAGGAAACACCTTTAGTACAGCAATACCACCAGAAAGCTTGGCTAGCCTTTCTTGAAACTTTTCTTTATCATAATCAGATGTGCTGGACTCGATTGCTGACCTTATCTGTTATAAAATTGGGATTTGATCCA